TGCTGGGTGGGGCGGGGCGGTCGTGGCATCGGGCGTGGTCGCCAAAGTGATTTGCACCGCCATGGATTCGCGTCGCCTGCCCCAATTTCTAGCCCGCAGTGCGTGACCCAAGGTACGTCGTGTACAAGCCGCACCGTGATGAAGTCCTCAAAGCCGTTCTAGGTAGTCCATGAGGGGGCCCTTGCCCTTGTCGCAGGTCGCCGTTACTGGCGGGGTGACGATAGTGCCTCCCCACTCCTCCAGGTAGCCCGAGGCGGTTGGTCGGGCTGGGCTCATGTTCCAGTCGCCCACGACGATCCAGGGGTCCGCCAGCATGGCCGGGAACGCGGTGAGGGCCACGAGGCGTTCCAGGACAGGGCCAGCGATCGTGTCGTGGGGCTCCACGTAGAAGGCCAGGGCCACGATGTTGCCAGTCTTACGGTGCCAAGTCATGGGTGCGAAGCCGCAGCCGGGGTCCTGTTCGTAGATCAGTTGGGCCTGGTGCCTCAGGCCGTCGAAGGTGGAGCAGGCGACGTGCTTGCGGGCGAGGATGAGCTCTCCTCCTGTGGTGCCAGTGGTCGAGCGCATAGTGGGGAGAGCGTCGTGTCTGGAGACTCGCCAGTCGTCCTTGCTCCAGGTAAGGGCCGTGTCGTGGGCCTTGCAGGCGCCCGCGTGCGTCTCGACGAGGGCGAGGCATCTGGTAGCGTTTGCCCCTGGAGGCGACCCATCAGGCTGCCTGCGGCCCCCGCTCGGTGATGTTCGAGCAGAAGAGGCCCGAGGCCTGCTGTGATGGCCCAGCGCCAGTTCGAGGGGAAACTGGGATCACGTCCGTACAGTCGGGGCCCTGAAGAAGGAACCCTTTTCGTTGGGGAGGGGCTCGGTGTTCCTTGACTGTTCTACACTTTTCCTTCTGTTTTCCTGAGGTTTTCCAGGGGAAATCGAAGTTCAACTTATGGGAGAAAGGGGCCTCGTTCCTTATTCAGGGTTCCTTAGGTCAAGCCCCCGACTGTAGACTCCCTAGCCGTGTTGCCCGAGTGGTGCCCCTCCTGGGGGTGGCTGGTGTGCGGACAGCCATTTCCTGTCTTCTGGCGGGCTCCCATCGCTGGGTGGTGGAGCGGCCGGCTCCGCGAGAGCTGGGCCCCCAGATGCTGGTCCTGAGCGTGCTGGCGTGCAGCCGCCGTCGGATGCCTCATCGCAGACTCTGCCAGAACTCGCTTCGGCCGCGCCACCTGCGCCTGCGGCTGGCTCAGCGAGAGCTGGGTCCCCGGGCCGCCGTCGGATGCCCCGTCGCAGACTCTGCCAGAACTCGCTTCGGCCACGCCGCCTGCACCTGGCGTGCTTCCACCGCCCGTGTTTGCAGGCCGCGCCTCGCCTGAAGCCAACCTGTCAGCGCGAGCGACGGTGTTGGCCGTCTCACCACCCCCTTCCGAGGACGGCGTCTCGGGCGGAGTGGCATCAGGGTGGGCCTGCCTCCAGGGCCCCCTGGGTTCCAACAGTGCGGGCGCGTCGAGGGCCCGGTGAGCCGTCTCCTCGCCCCCCTACCGAGTACAGCGTCTCGAGCGGAGCGGAATTGAAATAGCCAGCTGTTCGGATGCCGTGCTGCCGATAGTACTGATCTTCCAGGTCCTCGTAGTGCGCGTCTAGGTCGTCGAAAGGGTCCAGGTCGGCGTCCATGCTATGCGTGATGGCCGAGTGGCGCTCGTGGTCGCCGTGGGAGTCCGATGGTGACCGTTCCGTCTCACTCGGTGCCCGCGTGGGCTTGTAGGTGGCGGTGCTAAATCTCCTCCATGTCCCCGTCGCCTCCCGTGGGCGGGTTGCGCAGGGCGGAGAGGAGCTTCTGAGCCTTGTCCTCGATGTCGGGGTCCCTGTGGCGAGCAGGGGCAGGTATGTCAGCGGCGCAGCCAGGGGTCGCGGCGGCCGCGGCGGCTGCCGCGGGGGCCTGCGGTGCAGCAGAGGCAAGGGCCGCGGCGCCGCTAGAGGCAGAGCCAGGGGAGGCTGCCGCGGTGGCGGGTGCCTGGTCTGGCTTGCCTGCTGCCTCTGCTGCTTCGGTGGCGGTCCTGGCGTGGCCCTCTGCGCCGACCCGCTGGCGCTTGGCGGCGAAGCGAGCACGCAGGGCGTTGGCCTCGCTGCGCATCTGGGAGATGTCAGTGGCGGTGTCGCCGAAGAGCTCCGTGACCTTGGCCTTGAGCTCCGTCGCGAACCGCTTCTGCAGCTGGTCCCAGGCTTCGCGGTCCTTGGCGTCGGCCTCCAGTCCTTGCAGATCGAAGGCCTTGCCCGCTTCGATGCGGATGGTCTCGTTCTCGAGGAGGCTGGTGAGGTTGAAGATGGAGGTGTCGGCTGCCGACGCTGGGGCCTTCGAGTGACGCGCTTGGCGCGCGGCCTGGAGAGCGTCGGGCGCCTCCTGGGCCTGGGCCTGGGCCTCCGCCAGCTCGTGGGCCGCTTCCGCCGACGCCTGCTTCCTCTCATTGTGCCAGATCTCTGCCTTGCGCTCACTCTCGAGCAGGCGCTCCAGGTTGTTTCGAGCCCTTCTCTCCGCAGCCTGCACGCGGTTGTACTTCTGATTCGGGTCCTCGGGCTTCTGCGGCGGCTGGGGGGGCGGCATCTGCTGCTCGATGCCCTCGATGGCTGCCTGGCCGATGTGCGGGGCCAGCTTCTGGAGCTCAAGCAACGCCCGATCCGCCGTCCTGGTCGTTGTGCCTCCTGTCCGCCAGCCCTCCTGTTGCGGGGGCGCCTCGACTTGGGCCAGGATGGCCAGGGCTCCCAGTCGTCGGCCGGCGGGGCCGCGGGGGCTGCGGCGGCAGCGGCGGCTGCCAGGCGGGCCCCCCAAGCCCCGAGCGGAGGTGGCGGGCGGCCCGGCCAGGGCGAGAGGGCTGTGCCACACCAGCAGCAGGACTCTGTGCCTGTCCAGTTCCGCTTGTAGGAGCAGGCGTCGCACTTGACGTGTCCATCTTGGCGCGCTGGTGCCATGGGGTGTCTAGCCACGTAGCACATCTGTCCCTCTGCCTGGTGTGTGGCAGGCGGGGTCGCTCCGGAGGCGGAGGCGGAGGCGGAGGCGGAGGCGGAGGCGGAGGAGGAGGAGGAGGAGGCGGAGGAGGAGGAGGAAGAGGAGGAGGAGGAGGTGGAGGAGGAAGAGGAGGAGGAGGAGGAGGAAGAGGAGGAGGAGGAGGAGGAGGAGGAGGAGGAGGAGGAGGATGGGGAGGATGGCTGAGTTGGGAAGAGGAGATGGAGGAAGAGGGAGGATTGACCATATTAAACGCAGGTTCGATGCTTCTCAATACGCTATCCCTTCCCAAATCCCCTCTTCATGCACTTTACAGGTAACACTTCGAGTTTCGGCAAGCGCCCCCCTTGAGTGACGATCGCCTGGCGTGCCTGCCACTCCATCGAGACCTTATTTTCAAACTGATCCATCTTCCATCTTTCTACGGGAACGCAGCGATAGTCCTGCTTTGAAAATAATCGGCCATCGATCTTTGTAAATATTACGATTGGTTCATGCAACGCTGGCGCGCTGGCGACGCCAGCGAAGGTGTTCAAGGTTAAATTTTGCGACGCGGAAGCACCCAGGGACACGGTGACGCCATTGTACCCGACGGAATTCAACTTTGAACGAACGGGGCCGCGATCGATTCACGGTTGGACGATCGAAGCGGTGTCAAAAAATCTGGCGCGTGTCGACGCCGCACGAACCTACCGTACACGATTCCCGAGTTGCGAAAATATCGGGTATGAGCCCCGTTGTGGAAGAGGAGCCGCCTTCCATCTTTCTAGCTGATGCACACTTTGGCATGCCGGGCCATCGAGCCTGAGGATTTCGCAAGCGAGAGCCGCGTTCTGAGAACGAACCAGCCAGCGCATCCGTACCATTGTTGGAAGCCTTGCAGGCAGACCGAGCGGGCCCCCGCTCTGCCTCTCTGGAGATGCTCACAGAGGGCTTCTCTCATGCTGTCGTGGCCGCCCCCACTTGACTTCCTTGCATCTTCGCGTGTCCGCAAGTCCGTGACCTCGCCAGCGCCTCAGCCAGATTTCGGTGTCCGCTACCCCTCTCCTCCTCTTTAAACCCTTAGATTCTTTGATCCTAGTAAATAACTCCTCCCTGTCGCACCCCGAGGCCGTTCGAATGGGCGGGCTGGGCGTTTTCACCTGAGACTTCCTCACCATTTATGACCCCGAAGCTTAGGCATTGGCAACAGTTTCACGGATTGAGGGCGGGGGGCTTTTCAACATGTGATTCTCGCTTTAGCGCCGCGCGCATTTTTATACATATGTATATATTTATGCAGATATGGAAAGAAGCATGCAACAGCTTCGCGGACTGAGGGCGAGCCGTTTTCAACATGTGGCTCTCGCTTTCGCGCCGCGCACATTTGTTGTAATCATGTTGTAAGTTTTTCTGGATTGATGGCTGTTTTTCTTCAACATGCGGCGCTCGCCTTAACACTGCGCGCATTCGTCATCAAAAGTTGTCATCGTTTCACGGATTGAGGGCATGTGGTTTTCAACATGTGGGTCTCGTTTTGGCGCCGCCTACATTCGTTTTGAACATGTGCAAGATATTACGGATAGAAGGCGGTCATTTTTCAACATGTGTTCGTGCTACTTTTTGGAAGAGTTTCATGGTTAATGTACCAGAAGTGGTGTTCTGCAATGACTCAGAATTGTGAGGGCGCAGCAGTTACGTTGATTGGCAGTGTAGAAGTCCCATGAATGGTGCTCTGGCACGGTCCATGATCTTCAAGACGCAAGAGTCACTTTGATTCGTGGTGTTGGGGTCACGAGAATGGTGTGTTGGTACGCCTCAGGATCTTCAAACGGTTGTTTCCGAACGAGGCAGTTCCCTCAGGGGAAATGAACTCTTGTAGGGTATCGTTGATGAGTCCTGGGTTTGCACTGGTCCTCCTCCTCCTCCTTCTCTTCTTCCTCCTCCTCCTCCTTCTCCTCCTCCTCCTCCTCCTCCTCCTCCTCCTCCTCCTCCTCCTCTCAGTTACTCTTGCCAAGCATCCATCCTGACCTCCCCCGAGGATTCCGGGCTTCAAGTCCTTGGGAGAGTTCTACACGCAGTTCGAACTAGATGAGAAGGTTCTGCTCGAACAGACAGCACTGACTTTACCTTCGACTGACCTGGCATAGGATGACGTGAGGAGGAGGAGGGGGAGGAGGAGGAGGAGGAGGAGGAGGAGGAGGAGGAGGAGGTAGAGGAGGAAGAGGAGGAGGAGGAGGAGGAGGAGGAGGAGGAGGAGGAGGAGGAGGAGGAGGAGGAGCTCGGAGCAGGAGGCATTGAGGGAGGGTGGGAGATTACAGCTTCACTGGGATCAAGGCTTGTTGGGGCATGCTACCTTCAATTTGTGCTTCCCATGTTTGTTACATGAGATGAAGACAATGAGCAGGAGAAGGAGGAGGATGAAGGATATGAGGCGTGTGTACTCTGCTCAAATACTGCAATCGTTGAGAGCAAATGTGTGGTGATTCTTTCGGGCCTGTCCCTTCTGCTGCTGTTCCTCCTCCTCCCTCCACCCCCTTCTCGCCTTCCGTTCTCACTCCTCGCTGCTTCCACTCCTTCCTTCCCCCATTGCCCTTCACGTACAGCAGAGAATGAGAGGCACAGCCACACAACGAGTGCTAACCACCATCTTCATATTCGTTCTACGACATAACAACTTGCTGTCCTTTTCCTTCCGATCTCCTCGCCTTTCCGTCACCTCCTGCTTCGTAAGCTTGGTGCCATGTTGGCGCAGTATCCGTTGCTAGGGTGGGGTGGGGTTTTCGTGGGCGGCTGTAGCTTGGGGTGGGACTTGGGTCAGTATCACGCTTGTGGCATGCTGCTAGCAGGACGTATTAAGGCACAAGTGAACCTGTCCGAATCACTATTCTCTTCCTCCTTCTTCTCCAATTTTTGCTCCTTGATCTTTGAGCCAGACAAGCGAAGCAGCTGTGAGTAGAGTGGGATGGGAATAACGTGGGTGTTGGCACAGATGGTAGGCGATTGGGGTGGTGCAGCACTAATTCCAGTGGGCCCGTGCACTTTTCTTTCGTGCTGCGTGTTGCCGGTACGGAGACTCTTCTCTCGCTGAAGGTGGGGGCAATCACAAGCCACATTTTGCAGTACCGGTGGCTCCTCGCTCTTCCATGCGTTGGCAGAAACGTTCGGCTGTCTGTGCGCACTTCGTCCCTTGAGGTCCGAGCAGCGTCTAGCACCCAATGTCGGTGGCGGAAGCTACTTGGCATCTCCGAGCTTGCTCTGCCATCGGCCCGGGCTTAATGCAAGAAAACCCCAATCTGCAGATTGCATTCTAGAAGGCTGCTCTGACTTTGGGAGGGTGGTTAGACTTGTTACGGATGTTGGTCGTTTCAGGGGTCATGAGTGAGTGCAGTTCAGTTAGAAAGTTGGCTCCTAGCAAACGGGGAACCTGGGAATGAGCCAGGCCCCAAACCCAGCGCGCGGCTACTTCTGATCATCATCGATGGTCCCAAGATGTGTCCTGGTTCACCGCCCTCTAGTGAACGGATGTGGTTGGATAGTGGAGCTGGCATAGCGCAACCCGCTTTCCCATCCTCCATTCCATCGTTTCGGGTGGAGGAAAAAGAGGGACAAGGAGGAGGAGGGGGAGGAGGAGGAGGAGGAGGAGGAGGAGGAGATGGAGGAGGAGGAGGAGGAGGAGGCGTCGGTAGGGGGGGAGATCGCAAGGTGGATGGCGCTTGCTTCACATCCTGTGCCAGTTCGTTCCGAGAAGTGTAAGTGGTCTGGGCGCTTTGGGCAGCTAGTTCCAGTCGAGGATGAGCGCTCCTTGTTTCAGCCAGATCCCGTAAAGGTGTTGGACGACCTGCTGCAGTACACGAAGCTCATGTACGAGTGCGGGGACTACGGGCTTTGTGTCGAGCTGTTGAAGCACTACAAGACCATTTTAGCAGGCGGCCGTGCGGAGGAGGCAGTGGAGGAGGTAGCGAATGAGGTTGAATAGTTCAACTCAATGCCTTCACGGTGACGGCGGACGTGGTATGCCGAACGCCGACTATTTAATTTGAGGTAGCTTCTGTGGAACTCACGTCATCCTCACTCCCAGCGCGCGAGTAGGCCAGGCCCCACCGCCCCCGGCGTGTCCCCGCAGGGCTCTTGCTCGAGACATCCTCGCAACGTCGACCCCCAGCGCGCGAGTGGGTCAGGCCCCACCGCGCGCTCCCAGGGACCACTTCTGGGGCGCGCGCCGGGCGTGTCCCCGCAGGGCTCTCGCGCGAGACATCCTCGCAAAGTCGACCCCTGGCGCGCGAGTAGGTCAGGCCCCACCGCGCCGCCAGGGACCATGTCCGGGGCGCGCGCCAGGCGTGTCCCAGCAGGGCTCAGACATCTCCACAAAGGCGGCCCCTGGCGCGCGAGGAGGTCAGGCCCCACATGCCCGACTTAATCCTGGCACGCCTCTCGCTCGAGACATCCTCGCAAAGTCGAGCCCCAGCGCGCGAGTAGGTCAGGCCCCACCGCACCCCCAGGGATCGTTTCTAGCGGCGCGCAGGGGCGCGCCCGGCGTGTCCCAGCAGGGCTCTCGCTCGGGACATCCTCGCAAAGTCGACCCCCGGCGCGCGAGTAGGTCAGGCCCCACCGCGCCCCCAGAGATCAGTTCTGGGGCGCGCGCCGGGCGTGTCCTGGCCGGGCTCTCGCGCGAGACATCCTCGCAAGGTTTCCCTTGGGGCCTCTTGGGGGCCCCCTGGCTTCGGAGGCGCGTGGATTATTTAACTTAAAAGGGATTCAGGTTTCGGGGATACGATGATTGAGCAATTTGCGAGGGGTCGTGGCCTCGGGGGCGCGAGCGTGGTGTAATTTTCGGGAGGTCGTGGCCTCAGGGGCGCGAGTGGTGTAATTTACAAGGGATCGTGGACTCGGGGGCGCGCACGTGGCGTATGAGGGATCGTGGCCTCGGGATCGCGAGCGTGGCGTAATTTACACGGGATCGTGGCCTCGGGGGCGCAAGCGTGGCGTAATTTTGCAGGGGATCGTGGCCCCAGAGGCGCGAACGCAGCGTAATTTGCAGGAGATCGCGGCCTCGGGAACGCGAATGTGGTGCAACTTGCGAAGGATCGTGGCCTCGGGGGCGCGACCAGAGCGTAATTTACGACGGGTTATTGCGTCGGGAGCGCGAACCTACTGTATTATTACGTGTCCCACGGCCCCGCAGGACTTCAGACAACGCGATTCGGGGGTGGTAGCCGGACCCTTTTCGGCTCCCCCTCCTCGCGCGGATTTCAATTTACAGTAGGAAGCAGAACGCAGGATTGCACCATTGGAAACTGGAAACTGGAACTGGTGCAGGGAGAAGCAAGCCAAAGCCTCGCAGCCTGATGGCCCCACAAGGAGGCCGGTGGACTCCACTCTACTCTATTCTACTCCGCTTCACTCTTTTCTACTCTACCCTATCCTACCCCGCTCTACTTCACCTACCTGAGTATTCCGCAGTCGACCCTTGCCCTACTCCGCCCTGCTTTACCTTTCCCTAACGTACTCTCTGCTCAGCTCTGCTCTACTCTACTCCTACCCTGCTCTACTGTCCCCTAGTCTGCTCTACTCTTCTTCACTGTTCTACTCTTCTGGCGTCTGCTCTACTTTGTTCTGCTCTTTCCCTCCCATCTGCTCGTATCTACTCCACTCTTACTGGGAGCCAATTCAGTTGCAGAGGAAGCCATTGCATTAGCAGAGGACGCCATGGCATTAGTTTGGGGTGCCCTGACCAACTCTATGGTAGCGTGCCTGGCCAATTATACTCCTATTGTACCCTGCTCTACTGTACCTTGCTCTTTTCTACTCTATTATACTCCGACCCCTACTCCCACACCGACATCTTATCTACTCTAGTCTACTCTACTCTATTTTACTCCACCCTTTTCCTACTCCATGTTACCCTCTACTAGCTACTCTCTGCTCTCTACTCTTTACTCTCAACTCTATTATTTGCTCTCTACTCTCTATTATCTACTCTCTACTCTCTACTCTCTACTCTCTACTCCCTACTCCCTACTCTCTGCTCTGGACTGTACTCTACTCCACTCTGCTCTGCTCTTACTCTTCTCTACTCCACTCCACCACACTTAAACATACTCTATACTCTACTCTCTATTCTACCCTACTTACTCTGCTCTACTCTACTCTACTCTACTCTACTGTATCCTACTCTGTTCTACTCTACTCTACTTGATTATACTACTCTTCCCTAGTCTTCTCTGCTCTACTCTACGCTGCTCTGCTCTGCTCTGCTCCTCTCCTGCTCTGCTCTGCCCTGCCCTGCTCTGCTCTGCTCCACTCCACTCCACTCCACTCCACTCTACTCCACTTCTCTTCACTCCACTCTATTCAACTCTAGACTACTGCACTCTACTCTACTCAACTCCATGTTACTCTCCTCTACTCTGCTCTACTCTACTCCACTCTACTCTACTCTGCTCGACTCTGCTCTGCTCTGCTCTACCCTACCCTACCACCCTATCCTATTATACTCTATTACGCTCTACTCTACATTTCCATACTTTACGCTAGTATGTTCTACTCTACTCTACTCTACTCTACTCTACTCTACTCTACTCTACTCTACTCTACTCTACGCTACTCTACTCTACTCTACTCTACTCTACTCTACTCTACTCTACTCTTCTCTACACTGTACTACTCTACTCTACTCTACTCTACTCTACTCTACTCTACTCTACTCTACTCTACTCTACTCTACTCTACTCTACTCTACTCTACTCTACTCTACTCTACTCTACTCTACTCTACTCTACTCTACTCTACTCTACTCTACTACTCTACTCTACTCTACTCTACTCTACTCTACTCTACTCTACTCTACTCTACTCTACTCTACTCTACTCTACTCTACTCTACTCTACTCTACTCTACTCTACTCTACTCTGCTCTGCTTTGCTCTACTCTACTCTACTCTACTACAGGTTACCCTACTCTAGTCAGGTCTATGCTATTATAGTCTACTCAACCCTACTTTTCTACTGCTCTACAATTCCACTCGTCTCCTACTCTATTACTCGGCCCTATTCTGGTTTATTCTACCCGGCCCATTATACTCTACTCTACTCTACTCTACTCTACTCTTCTCTACTATACTCTACTCCTACTCCTACTCCTACTCCTACTCCTACTCCTACTCCTACTCCTACTCCTACTCCTACTCCTACTCCTACTCCTACTCCTACTCCTACTCCTACTCCTACTCCTACTCCTACTCCTACTCCTACTCTACCCCTACCCTACTCTAACCTTTATTCTGCTCTGCCCTACTCTACTCGACTTCCATTCTGGCTCAAGCGGTTGTGTGCTTGGCTTTCGGGCGGCCGCCCGCGGGATGGACGCCTCGCGCCCCCCCCAGAGGGCCTCTCTCGGTTTCGGATAGTGATGGCCTTTTGGCTGCCGCGGTCCATGTCGCGGTGCTTGCCCAACCGCCGCGGCGCGCGGTCGCCTCCGTGACGCGTTCGGTTATGTCGGCGGTGGCTTGCGCCGCTTCGGCGCCGCCAGCGCGCCGCCAGGTGGCGACTGCGTCGCGCCAGACGACAAGAAGGAGACGACGCCCCGCGTCATCTCGCAGGCGCAGCTCGAGAGGCGGCGCCGCCGCCGCCGGCGCCTGTCGGCGCGGCGTGCGGCTCGGCGGGCCGTTGGGCAACAACACGCCATCGAGCTCGACGAGGCTGACAGCGGGGAGTCAAGCCTTAGTGATGATTTGGCTGATGGCGTGCGGCCCGCGGGTCCTGACGAGGCCAGCTCGGAGCTGATGCTCGACGGCGTGGCGCTGACGTCGGAGCCGGCTGCAGGGGATGGCGCGGGCCTCGCCCCGCCGTCCATGGAGGTCGCGGGTGGCCGTGCCGACACCGTGTCGTCGTCGTCGTCGTCGTCGTCGTCGTCGTCGTCGTCGTCGTCGTCGTCGTCGTCGGAGGAGGAGGAGGAGGAGGAGGAGGAGGAGGAGGAGGAGGAGGTGGCTCCCGCAGCGCTGACGCGGATCCACGTCTTCTCGGTCACGCTCGCTGGGCGCACGGGGGTGCTCTTCGTTCGGGGGCCCCCGCGGGCGCGAGTGCGCCTCGATGGCGCGGGGCGTGCTGGGCGCGTGGCCGTCGTGGAGCACGACTTCCTCCAGAGGCTGCCGTCCGCTGTGCCCTGGGTCGTGAGTTCGGCCTCGTGAAGCTCGGCTACGTGTCCAGCATCTCGGGGCAGCCCGCAGACGGGGTCAAACCTTCGTGGGCGCGGCTCCTCCTCGTGAGGTTCTTCGCCGTGCCGAGGTTGCTCGCGCGGTGGTCCACTCGGTCCTCCGCCGCGCCCACCTTGCCTTTCGGCCCTGCCAGCCTGTGCAGGCTGCTGGGGCGTGGGGCTGGAACGCGGAAGGCCTGCAGGCCGGTTGGCCGCAGGCGTGGCACTGACTCCCCACATCGGGGGGGACTGACTGCCAACCCGTGGGCGCTCTACCCTTCTCTTTTCCTCTACCCCGGCTCCACTGTTCCCCCGCCTGTTCTACTCTACTCTACTCTACGCTACTCTACTCCTTTCTCTCCTGTCCTCTCCTCCCCATCTGCCCTGCTCTTCTCTACTAAGCTCTGCCCTACTCTACTCTATTCAGCTCTACTCATCCACTCTATTCTACTTTACTCCACAGGAAGTCAGTGCAATAGCAGAGATAACCACTGCAATCAGAGGAAGCTCTGCAATAGAAGAGGCAGCCATTGCAATCATAGGACGCCACTGCAATCGTTTCTTGCAAGGTCGGGGGTTGTGGGGGGGAGCACTGTATTAGTTCTCTATGTATTGAGCTAGAACCCTCACAGGCAAGGCTATCTAGATAACGACAAGATCAGTCCCACCAGGCCCCGCCAGGGCGGCGGGTTCATGGTCGGCGGGATTCGTCGGGGGTCAAGATGAGGATGTCTGTTGTGGCACTGGTTGAGCAAGATGAGCGCTGCCATTTCCAAGCTTTCCCAGGGCTTGCCCAACATCCCAAGCGGTGGTCAACTCTTTCTTGTCTGTGTAGTCAACAGTAGCTTGATGTGTTAAAGCATGATACCTGACCGTTGTCGGCCCCTTGGTTTCTGCGTTTGCACTCATGCCCAGGGTCGCCGTGGTACAATGTATTGTCGAATGAAAGAGTAAGCATGTTATCGATGTGTTTGTGAGGACCCTTTGACGTGCCTCCCTTCGTGCACTCGCCGTCGCGCAATACAGCTACAGTTAGTTGCTTTCCGCCCTTTGTGTCGTTCTGCCACTCCGCCCTCGCGCTGCTTCCCCTCCACAGCTGCCTCGGTCTGCTGGCGTTCAGCGTACCCCTCAAGCTCCGAGTTTGATTTGCTCCGCTCGCATCCCAGTTGACACCGAGCGCCCTGTGAACAAGGACACCATCTCAATGTTGTGGGGGCAGCTTGCGTCCAACATTCTGACCAAGGACCTGGGCCCTTCCCTTCTTCGGTCCAGGAGGCGACGGCAGCGTCATCAGCTTGCACTGACGGGGTGTAGGAGGAGGGATAAGGAGGATAGTGAGCACACGGAGGATACTGATGCAGAAGAAGAGAATATGAGCGAGGAAGATGAGGAGGAAGACGAGAAGGATGATGATGAGGAGGAGGAGGAGCATGAGGAGGACAAGGAGGAGGAGGAGGAGGCGGAGGAGGAGGAGGAGGAGGAGGACGAAGAGGCGTGATGGGGAGAGGAGGTCGGATGGCAGGTGGGAACGTGGAAGAGGAGGAGGAGGAGGAGGAGGAGGAGGCAGTAGGAGGAGGTGGAGGAGCGACAAGGTTTGATGAGGAGAGCGAGGAGGAGGAGAAGGAGGAGGAGGAGGAGGAAAGGGAGGAGGCGGAGGAGGAGGAAGAGGAGGAGGCAGGGGATATGCGAAGAGGAGGTGGTGGGGGTGGTGATTGTGGAGAAGGGTGTCAATGAAGGGAGGGGGTTGACTCGAAGAGGATGAGGAAGGATGACAGGCAAGGAAAAGGAGGGAGGATGACAGGCGTGGTGGGACATCCCCACAGTCAGTCACATGGCGCCTCCGACCGCCTCGCAGTAGGAGGGTCGCTGGCCATCTTCCCCCTTCAGCCTTTCATCCTGCTCCTGCTCCTCCTACCACTCCTGATCGTACTCTCTGACATCTCCTGCTCCTGCTCCCGTTTCTGCTCCTGCCCGTATTCCGGCTGCTCCTGTCCTTCTGAATGACAGGAGCAGCCGGAGTGGAATTATCTTTTGACCAGCAGATGCGCCCACTCTGTTCCCCAGCTGGTCGGGTAGACAGGGACCATATCCGGGTGGTTCCATCCCACCAATCAAATAACAATGCACGAGTCATCTTCGTACTTCTCGACGTGGACGTTTTGTGGTAGGCGTTGCAACATGCGTGGCAGGAAAGGGACGCGGCGCACACTGGGCGCGAGAGGGTCACATGTCGCTCTCGCCTCGGCGCCGCGCTTACTCGTCCTCCATGTCAAGCTCCCGCCCTGGCGGGGCGCCCTGGAGCCGCTCGCCGGATTGTCGATGCCGGGACCGCGCGCGGGGCGAGCGAGGTTTCGCGGATGAAGTGCCGTGCATTTTTCTCTGAGCTGTACGTCCCAGGATGATTCGGAGGAGGGGGAGGAGGAGGAGGAGGAGGAGGAGGAGGAGGAGGAGGAGGAGGAGGAGGAGGAGGAGGAGGAGGAGGAGGAGGAGAGGAAGTGCCGTGCGTCTTTCTCTGAGCTGTACGTCCCTCCTCGGGCGCGGCGCTTGTTTTCCGACTGCCGATCCTACCAGGAGCTTGGCCGCGCGCCAAGGCGCGGCCAAGGTCCCCCCCACTCTCGCAAGGGTAGGTATGGTTCGATTTCACGATGTTGTTGTCTTCTCTTGTCTCTTACTCTTCACTACTTCATATTTGTTCCCAACCAGCCTGTGTTGTTGGGTCCTCGTTTTGAAAAGACGGTCCCCGCGTTCCTCCTCCTCCTCCTCTCCTCTCCTCCTCCCCCTCCTCCCTCTTCCTCGCTCCTCCCCCTCTTCCCTGCGTTTCACCCACCCAGTACAGCGTTTCGTAGCCCCATAGGGAGCTCCACCGAAGGCCCCAGTGCCACCATCCACATGCGTTCCCCCCATTCAGTACAGCGTTTCGAGGCCCCATAGGGAGCTCCACCGAAGCCCCCAGTGGGACCGTCCACATGCGTCCCCCCCACTCAGTACAGCGTTTCGTGGCCCCATAGGGAGCTCCACCGAAGGCCCCAGTGCCACCGTCCACATGCGTCCCCTCCACTCAGTACAACGTTTCGTGGCCCCATATGGAGCTCCACCGAAAGCCCCAGTGCCACCGTCCACATGCGTCCCCTCCACTCAGTACAGCGTTTCGTGGCCCCATAGGGAGCTCCACCGAAGGCCCCAGTGCCACCGTCCACATGCGTCCCCTCCCCTCAGTGCAGCGTTTCGTGGCCCCATAGGGAGCTCCACCGAAGGTCATAGTGCTACCGTCCACATGCGTCCCCCCCACTCAGTACAGCGTTTCGAGGCCCCATAGGGAGCTCCACCGAAGGCCCCAGTGGGACCGTCCACATGCGTCCCCCTTACTCAGTACAGCGTTTCGTGGCCCCATAGGGAGCTCCACCGAAGGCCCCGGTGCCACCGTCCACATGCGTCCCCCCCACTCAGTACAGCGTTTCGTGGCCCCATAGGGAGCTCCACGAAGGCCACAGTGCTTCCGTCCACATGCGTCCCCCCCACTCAGTACAGCGTTTCGTGGCCCCATAGGGGGCTCCACCGAAGGCCCCAGTGCCACCGTCCACATGCGTCCCGCCCATTCAGTACAGCGTTTTGTGGCCCCATAGGGAGCTCCACCGAAGGCCCCGGTGCCACCGTCCACATGCGTCCCCCCCACTCAGTACAGCGTTTCGTGGCCCCATAGGGAGCTCCACCGAAGGCCCCAGTGCCACCGTCCACACGCGTCCCCCCCACTCAGTACAGCGCTTCGTGGCCCCACAGGGAGCTCCACCGAGGGACCCAGTGCCACCGTCCACATGCGCTCCCCCACTCAGTACAGCGCTTCGTGGCCCCACCACCGACGGCCCCAGTGCCACCGTCCACATGCGTCCCCCCCACTCCCAAGTAACAGCGTTTCGTGGCCCCACAGGGAGCTCCACGAAGGCCCCAGTGCACCGTCTCATGCGTAACCCCCACTCAGTACAGCGCTTCGTGGCCCCACAGGGAGCTCACCGAGGGCCCAGTGCCACCGTCAACATGCGTCCCCCCCACTCATTACAGCGCTTCGCTGCGCCTCATAGGGAGCTCACCGAAGCCCACAGTTTGCCACCGTCCAACATTTTTGCTCCCCCACACTCAGCTACAGCGTTTTTGGGCGCTGGAGAGTGGGGCCGGGGCGGGGTGGGGGGGGCGCGGGGGGCGGTGGGCGAGGGGGCGGGCGGGCGGGGTGAGGGGGTGCGGGGGGGGGGCCCCCATAGGGAGCTCCACCGAAGCACACAGTTGCCACCGTCCACACGCGCCCCCCCCACTCAGTACAGCGTTTCGTGGCCCCCTAGGGAGCTCCACCGAAGGCCCCAGTGCCACCGTCCACATGGGTCCCCCCCACTGAGTACAGCGTTTCGTGGCCCCATAGGGAGCCCCACCGAAGGTCACAGTGCTACCGTCCTCATGCGTCCCCCCCACTCAGTACAGCGCTTCGTGGCCACATAGGGAGCTCCACCGAAGGCCCCAGTGGGACCGTCCGAGTGCGTCCTGAAACACCGGATTTGGCATTTTCACCCACCCATTACAGCGCTTCGTGGCCCCACAGGGAGCTCCACCGAAGGCCCCAGTGCCACCGTCCTCATGCGTCCCGCACACTTAATGTGGCATTTATGCCCACCCAGTGCAGCGTTTCGTGGCCTCACAGGGAGCTCCACCGAAGGCCCCAGTGGGACCGTCCGCAAGCGTCCCGAAACACACATTGTGGCATTTTCACCCACCCTTTCCAGAATTTCGTGGCCCCGTAGGGAACTCCACCGAAGGCCCCAGTGCCACCGTCCGCATGCGTCCCGAAAACCCAGCGTGGCATTTTTACCCACCCATAGGGAGCTCCACCGAAGCTCCCAGTGGGACCGTCCGCATGCGTCCCGGAAGCCCAATTTGGCATTTTCACCCACCCAGTACAGCGTTTCGTGGCCCCATAGGGAGTTCCACCGAAGCCTCCAGTGGGACCGTCCGTTTGCCGGAAACCCAATTTGGCATTTTCACTTACCCAGTACAGCGCTTCGTGGCCCATAGGGAGCTCTACCGAAGCCCCCAGTGGGACCGTCCGCATGCGTTCCAGAAACCTTACTTGACACACCACTCACCCAGAACAGCGTTCCCCCCCACCCAGTGCAGCGCTTCGTGGCCCCATAGGGAGCTTCACCGAGGAAGATGTTCACAATTGCGGTACCCACAACTGCATGTGGTTGGGTCCTTCGCCAGGACAATTTTGCTTGTTCTTAGTGTTTACCTTCCCTCCTATTTCATTCGTTTTTAATCCTAGTAGTCTTCCTGCGTAATGTCTTCTCTGCCGCGTGTTTGGGTAAAGCTGATGTTTAGATTTCGAGCCCAACCCTAAATTCGAGATCCCCGAACACAGAACAATAATACAAAATACATTAAACAGACAAGACAGTCATAACGTTGCGGGGATACTGTGTTTCACAGGTTTAATTGGTTCCCGACCTAAAGACCAACGATTTTAGCGTAAACGCATATTGGTTTCTTTCTCAAACGTGTTCTCGACCCCAAACAGCAGTCATAATCCTGAGCGATCCCAGTGAAGGCGCCAGGGTCACCTGGTCTCAAGGTTGCACTTTCTGTATAAAACAAACAAGCATCAACGACAACCATATGTTATCACAGCACCGTCGTTGTTCCCAACCAACCTGTGTTGTTGGGTCCTCGTTTTGAAGAGACGGTCCCCGCGCTCCTCCTCCTCCTCCTCCTCCTCCTCCTCCTCCTCCTCCTCCTCCTCCTCCTCCTCCTCCTCCTCTCCTCTCCTCCTCTCCCTCCTCCCTCCACCTCCCTCCTCCCCCTCTTCCCTGCGTTCCACCCACCCAGTACAGCGTTTCGTAGCCCCATAGGGAGCTCCACCGAAGGCCCCAGTGCCACCGTCCACATGCGTCCCCCCCACTCAGTACAGCGTTTCGTGGCCCCATAGGGAGCTCCACCGAAGGCCCCCGTGCCACCGTCCACATGCGCCCCCCCCACTCAGTACAGCGTTTCGTGGCCCCATAGGGAGCCCCACCGAAGGACCCAGTGCCATCGTCCACATGCGTCCCTCCCACTCAGTACAGCGTTTCGTGGCCCCATAGGGAGCTCCACCGAAGGCCCCAGTGCCACCGTCCTCATGCGTCCCCCCCACTCAGTACAGCGTTTTCGTGGCCCCATAGGGAGCTCCACGAAGCGCCACAGTGCACGTCCAACATGCGTCCCCCCACTCAGTACAGCGCTGCGTGAGCCCCATAGGGAGCTCCACCCGAAGGCCCCAGTGCCACGGCACATGTGCCCCCCCCAAACAGTACATCGGTCGTGGCCCCATAGGGATCTCCACCGAAGGACCCAGTTCCATCGCCCGCGTGCGTCCCCCCCACTCAGGACAGCGTTCAGTGAACACCATGGGGAGCTCCACCGAAGGCCCAGTGCCACGGTCCTCATGCGTCCCCCCCAACTCAGTACAGCGTTTCGTGGGACCATAGGAGCTCCCACCGGAGGCACCAGTGCCACCGTCCACATGCGTCCCCCCCCACTTCAGTACAGCGTTAGTTAGCTCGATAGGAAGCCCCACCGAAGGTCACGATGCCACCGTCCACATGCGTCCCCCCCACTCAGTACAGCGTTTCGTGGCCACATAGGGAGCTCCACCGAAGCCCCCAGTGGGACTGTCCGAGTGCATCCTGAAACACCCAATTTGGCATTTCCACCCACCCATTACAGCGATTCGTGGCCCCACAGGGAGCTCCACCGAAGGCCCCAGTGCCACAGCGTTTCGTGGCTCCACAGGGAGCTCCACCGAAGGCCCCAGTGCCACCGTCCACATGCGCCCCCCCCACTCAGTACAGCGTTTTGTGGCCCCATAGGGAGCTCCATCGAAGGCCCCAGTGCCACCGTTCACATGTGTCCCCCCCACTCAGCACAGCGTTTCGTGGCCCCATGGGGAGCTCCACCAGAGGCCCCAGTGCCACCGTCCACATGCGTCCCCCCCACTCAGTACAGCGTTTCGTAGCTCGATAGGAAGCCCCACCGAAGGTCACGGTGCCACCGTCCACATGCGTCCCCCCCACTCAGTACAGCGTTTCGTGGCCACATAGGGAGCTCCACCGAAGCCCCCAGTGGGACTGTCCGAGTGCATCCTGAAACACCCAATTTGGCATTTCCACCCACCCATTACAGCGATTCGTGGCCCCACAGGGAGCTCCACCGAAGGCCCCAGTGCCACAGCGTTTCGTGGCTCCACAGGGAGCTCCACCGAAGGCCCCAGTGGGACCGTCCGCAAGCGTCCCGAAACACTCATTGTGGCATTTTCACCCACCCAGTCTAAAATTTCGTGGCCCCGTAGGGAGCTCCACCGAAGGCCCCAGTGCCACCCTCCGCATGCGTCCCGAAAGCCCAACGTGACATTTTTACCCAACCAATGCAGCGTTTCGTGGCCCCATAGGGAGCTCCACCGAAGCCCCCAGTGGGACCGTCCGCATGCGTCCCGGAAGCCCAATTTGGCATTTTCACCCACCCAGTACAGCGTTTCGTGGCCCCATAGGGAGTTCCACCGAAGCCTCCAGTGGGACCGTCCGTTTGCGTCCCAGAAACCCAATTTGGCATTTTCACTTACCCAGTACAGCGTTTCGTGGCCCCATAGAGCTCCACCGAAACCCCCAGTGGGACCGTCCGCATGCAACCCGGAAACCTTACTTGGCACACCACTCACCCAGAACAGCGTTCCCCCCCACCCAGTGCAGCGCTTCGTGGCCCCATGAGGAGTTTCATCGAAGAAGATGTTCACAATTGCGATACCCACAACTGCATATGGTTGGGTCCTTCGCCAAAATACTTTTAATAGTAGTAGTAGTAGAAGTAGTAGTAGTAGTAGTAGTAGTAGTAGTAGTAGTAGTAGTAGTAGTAGTAGTAGTAGTAGTAGTAGTAGTAGTAGTAGTAGTAGTAGTAGTAGTAGTAGTAGTAGTAGTAGTAGTAGTAGTAGTAGTAGTAGTAGTAGTAGTAGTAGTAGTTAGTAGTAGTAGTAGTAGTAGTAGTAGTAGTAGTAGTAGTAGTAGTAGTAGTAGTAGTAGTAGTAGTAGTAGTTAGTAGTTAGTAGTTAGTAGTAGTAGTTAGTAGTTTGTAGTTAGTAGTAAGAGTAGTAGTAGTAGTAGTAGTAGTAGTAGTAGTAGTAGTAGTAGGAGTAGGAGTAGGAGTAGGAGTAGGAGTAGGAGTAGGAGTAGGAGTAGGAGTAGGAGTAGGAGTAGAAGTCAAGCTAGCCAGCTCGAGCGAGTCAAGCATGGCATGCCCAGTCCCACCCGCCCTCCCACAACATAAGAAGCAAAGCTGGCACAACTGGGGGCCGAAGTCACACCGGCCAGCCGGTTTGGTACAGCTGATGCGGCCGCGATGGCGGTTGCCGACGGGAACTGGCGAGCGCGTGTTGAATGCCGCGCACGCATTGCCAGACGAGTCGAGAATGGCCCGGTACACCGCAGGAAGCCAGAGGTGGCCGGAGGAAGCCCGACGGTCTGACAGGACACCCCAAAGCATTTTTGTGAAAAGCATTGGGTTTTTGATGTTTTTATGTTGAAATGCTTGCAAACACACGGTGTTCGGTAGGCTTCTGACATGAACGCGCGAGTGTGCTCTTTGTGGTATTTTTTGCACAGGATTCGCGGCCTGGGTGCATGACAGAGCATCGCGAGTGCACCGCGCGATGACGTGAAATCGCTGGATTTGACAGAATTCTTAAGATTCCTATGGTTTTCCTATGATTTCAGCAAGAGAGCCCGGGCGGGAAATTTGTACAATTTTTGTGAAAAAGCATTGGGTTTTTGATGTTTTGGCACTGTCTTTGACTGGAATGAGGGCGGGTGGAAACTGCGAGAGTGGGAAGCGACCGCGGCCCATTTTTGCTCAAAGTTTTTGAGGCGTCGCACCTCGGATGGTGCTCCCAGATTATCTGAGCGACCTCCTCCAGTCTGGCGCACGGGAGATAGGCCGCGGCGCGGTGGCTGGGGTGGTGGCCAGCTGGACCGCGACTGGCGTTCAGTCGGAGGCCTGCCCGCTCCCACCGCCCTGTCCGCCCGGGCCCGCCTGCCCCAACCTGACCTGCCCGGAGCTGACGTGCCCCGAGGCGGTCTGCCCGGCGTGCCCTGCGCTGATCTGCCCTGAGGGGCCGCCGTGGGTGCTGCTCGCCGCGGCCCTCGTGTTCAACGTGGTGGTGGCGGCGGTCGGCGGCTTCTGTGCTGGCGCGCGACGCGGAGCTCGTCAAGATGCTGGTGGCAGCAGGAGCAGGCGACCTGCCCTCCGGGGTGGCGGCTTCATTGAGAGGGTTGATGCCGGGCAGTAGGATCCTGGTGCGCTACGTCGACGCCGGCGAGGACCTCCTGCACGAGCGGGTGTGCCTGTGGCCGGTGAGTTTCGAGGAATGGATCACGGAGTCACCTGATGGCGACCAGATGCCAGAGCGTCTCTCAGGCCCCGACATCGAGGAGTTCATCGTGCTGTCGCCTGGTGGCGGGGTGCCTCGACACGTGGTCTCGCCGAGGTACCGGTTCCGACGAGAGATCGGCGCCCGGGAGCTCCGCGGGAAGGTGATCGAGGCTCGGTACCTGGCGCGCCAGGCGCTCGCCGCTGGCGAGGCGCCGCTGCCCGCGCCGCTTCGCACGCAGCAGTGGGACGGGCGCGTGGTGGCGCTGGAGGACTTCTGGCGGCTTGGAGGTGCTCCTGCCCGCCGCGGGCGGGGCAAGGCGCCACCGATTGTGCTGGATGCGCCCGACGACGAGGACGACGACAGGGGGGGCACCCAGACCCCTCCACCCCGAGAGGAGGCTGTCGCCGCCGCGGCGACCGCCACCGTGGAGGACGAAAAGGACTACCGCTGGGTCGTCGGCGAGCCGAACTCCTCGTTCCCGCTCGGCACCGAGTTCACCGTCGCGACGATCCTCGGCGAGAAGGACGCCTGCAGGCTGGGGGATCGGATGCTGGTGAGCGTCGCTGCGCCCCCTGCCTCGGGTCGGACCGCCGAGGGCGTCGTGGTGCTCTACCGCCTCCACGGGGACGACGTGCCTGGTTTTGGGGCCAAGCGCTGGAAGGACATCGCCGCGCTCATGCCCCGCGACGGGTCTGCGGCGCCTGAGCCTTCTTCGCCTGCCCCTGTGGACGCGCCTCCTGAGCCGGACCTTGACGACGCCAGGACCCTGCCCGTGCAGTACGACGAGCAGGGCGAGAGGTTCCGCTCGTGGAAGGAGGCCGTCGCCAAGATGCACGAGAGCTTCTATGAGGACTGGCCCGTCGAGGGCCCGCGCACCATGCTGTGGATGGCAAAGAACATTGAGAGGACTGGAGGCTCCCCGATGCAGTGGTACCACAAGTATCTCGCCGAGAATCGCATCGCTGCGTCGGACCGTCTCGCGTGCGAGCTCCAGGCGATGTGCCGCCTGCTGGAGCACGCCGGGTGCTACGATCAGCTCAACCTCGCGTCGCTGGCCGCGTTCGAGGTGCTGGCGAGGAGGATGCAGCTGTTGCTGGACGCGGCCAGTCGTGGTCCTGGAGAGGGCCGCTTTGAGGACGAGGAACTGTGGTCAGGCCATCAGCAGCGGACGGCGGGGATCGCCCCGGCCCTCACCGCTCACGTGGCTACCCGTACCAAAGAGAAAGCCGAGATCGAGAAGCAGCGCCAGAAGGCCCAAGAAGTGCGTGCAGCCACCGCCCACCCGAAGGCAAAGGCAGCCGCCAAGAAGGGGGCTGGAGGCGCGGCAGACGCTTAGCTGTGCGACGGCGACTGGCAGGGACCCCGCTGCCAGTCGCTTCTACCTCAGAGGGGCCGCGCTTCCGGGCGCAGAGTTTCAGCTCAGGCCTTCTTCTCCTGCTTTCGCGTGTTCGGCGCTATTGAGCTTTCCCCTCACTTCCCCACCTCCCCCCTCCCCCCCCCACCCCCCACTTCCTCCTCCCCCCCACCCCCATCCCTCCTCTCACCCCCCTCGACTGCCGCCCCCCTTCCACCACCCCCTTCCCCCCTTTCCTCCACCCCCCTCCCATCTCTGACTAGGACCCCCCCCCCCCTCCCCCACCCCCCCCCCCCTTCCCCACAGCCACCTTCTTTTTCAAGATGCAGCCTGAGGTCTTCCCTTTGCCGTCGCTGACAGAGGAAGGGCCTCGCCGTCCTGGGCTCAGCCGAGGCGTGTGTCAACGAGTCGCTCGTCGTCAGGCCATCACTCGTCGTGCCAACGATGCCATCTCAACCCTGAACTGGCTGAGCGGGTGCGGTGGGGCGGCCCCCGAGGGGATATGCTCGCCGGCGCAGGCCGAGGCCGTCCAGCACATTAAGGGCGTGATGGAGCGCTCTCAGGCTGTTGATGTTGTTCCGCGTCCGCATGAAGCCGCACGCGCGCTTCTGCGTTCCCGAGCCGGCTACGACTCGGATGAGCATATTGTGAGCGACTACCAGGAAGAGCTGTTGTCGGTACCCGCGTCGTGCAAGGACTGCCCTTATGCGGTCGATGTGGTGCCCGCTGAGGCTGCATCAATGCTGGTAGATTTTGAAGAACGTATGGTCAGGCCTGACATCGAATTTTGGGAGCTGGAGGACAACTCGGAGCCGGTCACCCCCTACATGGACCGAAACTTGGCGGGGGATCGACAGGCCTACATCAAGTTTGTCCGTCGGCTGGAGTCAATTGGCGTGTTGCGGTGGTGCGCCGCTGTCAAGGAGCGCGCCACCGTGTTCTGTGTGAAGAAAAAGTCGGGGATGCAGCGGCTAGTGGTCGACGCTCGCCGCAGCAACCGCCGCTTTCGCGATCCCCCCGGAGTGGAGCTGGCCACCGCCGAGTCGCTAGGGCTCATCGAGGTCGACGACGACTCGGAGGTGTTCATCAGTACAGGCGACGTGCGGGACGCGTTCTACCGCTTCAAGATCGATGTGGAGCTCAGCCGCTACTTCGGGCTGCCGCCGCTGCGAGCGGAGGAGCTCCACCTTCACGAGGCTGAGGGGGAGTGGCTGTCGGCGGACCGCTGGGTGCACCCCTGCTTCGCGGTGCTCCCCATGGGGTTCAAGTGGTCACTCTACCTCGTACAGGAGGCGGTCACCAAGCAGGTGGAGGATGCCACGGGCGCGACCGCCGATCGGCGTCTGCAGACGTTTGGCGGCTCGCGCCTGATCACCTCAGGCGGGCAGCCTCTCCACTATGTCTACGTGGACAACGTGGGCTTTCTTGGCGGTCAGCCTGAGGAGGTGCAGACGATGAAGGATTGTGCTTGCGAGCGATTGGACGGCGTGGGGCTGTCCACTCACGAGCACGTCGAGGCTCAGACTCAGTCGGAAGTGCTGGGCGTGGCGATCGATGGCGGCAAGGGCATTGTAGCCACGTCGCTCAAGAGGATGTGGAAAGTCGACAGCCTGCTGACCTGGCTGCTGGACCGTGGAGTTGCCTCGGGGCACCAGCTGGAGTCGACCGTTGGCCACCTGACCTTCATTTTCATGCTCCGTCGCCCCCTGTTGTCGGTTCTGTCTGCGACCTACCAGTTCATTCGTAGCGCTGGTGGTGAGCAGGTCGACCTCTGGCCCTCTGTGCGGGCCGAGCTTAGTGCAGCGCGAGCCCTGCTACCCTTTGCATTTGCTCAGTGGAGATTGCCCTGGCATGGCGAGGTGGTGGCGACGGATGCCTGCCCTACAGGATGGGGAGTTGTCGAGAGCTCTTGGAGTGACAAAAATGTGAAACAGGTTGGGAGGGTCGACGAGCGTATGCGATTTCGGGTCCGACAAGATATGGCTCATCGTGCACATGCTCTTGCAGGTTCTCGAGATGCCCTGGAGGACAAGTTCACCGTGTACGTCCCTAAGGGGACGAATGACCCGAACGAGTACTGGGAGGAGGACCCCAAGTTCCCCGACATCAGCCCCGACTGGATCCACGGGGCCCCCTGGAAGTTTGTATACGCTGGAAGGTTCTGCCGTAGGGAGGCCATTCACATTCTGGAGGCGAAGGGGATGATCTGGGCCCTGCGTCGGCTCGCAAAGCGCCCTGGTATCGGTGGTCGTCATGTCGTCTTCTTGGGGGATAACATGGGCCAGATCTTGGCGTTCTGCAAGGGGAGGGCCTCGGATTTCCAGATGAACATCTGCTGTCGAAGGTGGTGCGCCCTTTCCCTGGCCCTCAACATCCGTTGCCATGTTCGTTGGGTGCCGTCTGAGCTCAATCCCGCCGACGGGCCTTCGCGGCGGTACGAGCCCGGGCACAAGCGGCCGAAGTCCGATGCGGTCGCAGGGGCCGACCCGGCCGCCGCCGGTTCGGCGAGAGGATCGGCGCCTGTTGAGCAACGGGCGCAACGCTGCACAGAAGGCGTCGGCTATCCCGGCGGCTCGGCCGCGGAGGGAGATCCCGCGCCTGCCGAGGAGCGTGCCGATCTCGCAGCCGGCGTAGCTGAGGAGGCTGAGTACGGCGCTGGCGAGGCAGGACCGCTTCTCGGTGGAGGTCGACGCCCTCGGCCGCTCGTTCCTGGAGACGAAGGCCGTGGGGCGAACCCAGCATCATCGCCAGAGTACGTGGAGGGGGGTGGAGGGGTAGTGCAGGACGGCGCCAGGCTCGAGCATTCTCGCTCGACTCCCGGAGGAGTCGACTTCGCCTGCTCGAGGGTGTACCGACGAGAGTTCTTCAACGGCATGGACGGGAGCGTCGGGCACTACCTGCTGGCGGCCATCAAGGGCATCCGCCCGGAGTTCGGGCGAGCTGGGACCTTTCGGCTTCCCCGGGCCCACCGTGCCCTCCAGGGCTGGGACCGCCTGGCTCCTGGGCAATCGCGGCTCCCCGAGGCGCGACCGGTGTGGGCGGCCCTGATGGTGGGGCTGGTGCGGGCGGGCTTCCGCACGATGGCGATCGAGACGCTGGCCGCGCTTGTGACCTACGCGCGGCCTGGGGAGATTCACGAGCTGAAGGCGAAGTGGCTCATCCCCCCGTCGTCGAACGTGGGGCCCCACTGGACGTTCGTCATCCGGCCGTCCGAGGAGCTGAGGCCGACCAAGGTGGGGATCTACGACGACACCGTCATCTGGGACAAGGAGGAGGCGTGGACCACGCAGCTGCTGCGCGAGCTGGTGCGCGGCAAGAGCGGCGACGAGCCCGTCTTCAACTACAGCTACGCCGCGTACCTGAAGCAGTTCAAGGCGGCTGCGAAGCGGCTGGGGCTTCCAGAGCTGGTTCCTTACCAGCTCCGCCACAGCGGCGCGTCGTGGGATCGGCTGCAGCTGCGACGCACGCTGGACGAGATCATGAAGCGTGGCCGCTGGGGCAGCCACAAAAGCGTCGCCCGCTACGAGAAGGGCGGCCGTGTGCAGGCGCAGTGGCAGCGGCTGCCCAAAAGTTTCCAGCAGTTCGCCCTGTGGTGCGAGGCCAACCTGCAGCGCGTGATGCTGGACGGCCTCGCCCCGCCCGCCGCACCGTCGCTGCCGCGCAGTGGGCTTTTGAGGACGTCTACTCCGGCTGCGGAGGTGTCGCGGCGGAAGTGACAAAGCTTGGAGGCCGTGCAACAGTGACCGATGTCGTGCATGGCCCAGATCACGATCTAACAAAGAATCGAAATCAACAAAGACTTTTGAATCGTGTCCGAACTGGCAGAGTAAGAGGTGTGATGATCGCAACTCCCTGCCACACACTGAGCCGGGCACGTCGTGGGTGCCCGCCGCCGCTCCGATCCAACGAGTTTCCCTGGGGCCTGGCAGGGCTCAGTGCCGTGGACATAGAGAAGGTGCATATCGGTAACTTGCTGACCAGGTTCACGATAAAGCTGGTACGCCTCTGCCTGAGGATGAAGGTCCCGTGCGTCGTCGAGAACCCTCTCACCTCAATGTTCTGGATCCTTCCTGAGGTTCTAAGGTTGCTCGCCTGTCCGCAAGTCAAATTGGAACGAGTAGATTTTTGCCAATTCGGAACCCGATGGAGAAAAGCAACTAGACTCATGCTGTGTAATATTCCTGACGACGTGTGTAGAACTCTGGACTCTTTTAAGTGTAAAGGGCGGGGGTGGTGCTCTCGGTCTGGTCGCCCCCACCTCGAGCTTTCTGGCAAAGCCCCGAATGGGAAATTCTGGACCTTAATTGCACAGCCCTACCCCCCCCGCCTTTGTAAACAGCTCGCCGAGGTTTTTCACTTATGTCATCTCGCTCGGTCTGGTCAGGGACTGCTTTCAAACTTGTCGTGATCTAAGGATCCCAGGGCATTCATGGGCCCGGGGCACAAAGTGGTCTTGGGTCTCTGGAGAAGCTTTCAGAGGCTCTGCCGTTGCAAAGCGTTCGTGAGATGATGTTGTCTCGTCTGGCTGCGCACCGCATGATATAGAAGCGTCTGCGTGAAAACGATCGCCCTCATGGCACTGTCTTTGACTGGAATGAGGGCGGGTGGAAACTGCGAGAGTGGGAAGCGACCGCGGCCCATTTTTGCTCAAAGTTTCCCCTCCCAATTTTATGTGACTCTCTTTTGCCCAACCCTGCTGTCCCTGACCTTGCCTGGGGTCTCTGGAGAAGCTTTCAGAGGCTCTGCCGTTGCAAAGCGTTCGTGAGATGATGTTGTCTCGTCTGGCTGCACACCGCATGATATAGAAGCGTCTGCGTGAAAACGATCGCCCTCATTATGTTGAAATGCTTGCAAACACACGGTGTTCGGTAGGATTCTGACATGAACGCGCGCGTGTGCTCTTTGTGGTATTTTTTGCAATGGATTATCGCCGTGGACGACAGGACGTCCATGTCGAGAGGGAATTAGCCTGGCGAAGGACCCAACCATATGCAGTTGAGAGTACCGCAATTGTGAAATATCTTCTTCGGTGGCGCTCCTTATGGGGCCACGAGCCGTATGAGGGGTGTGCCGAAATGCGTGGCAGTGTACACAACACGAACGAAGACGATAGATCCGAATATGAAAGCTTGAGCGCGTGCGAGTCGGATCGCGAGCGAGTCTGATTATGAATGAATCTGCGCGCGATTGATTCTATTCGCATGAATGCGTGCATGGATACGCCCAGTGTAAATGTATGTATACGACTGTGAACAGTTTTGGTCTGCGTGACTCTCGGTACTCGTGACTCTGAGCGTCGCCTCTGCAGGGGGCTTCCCTGGGAACCCCGACGGCAGCGCCCGCGCGCCGCGACGCCCATGTCGGCACGCCACACACCTGGTGTGCGGGACGCATGCGGACGGCCGCACTGGGGCCTTCGGTGGAGCTCCCTGTGGGGCCACGAAACGTGTGAGGGGTGTGCCGAAATGCGTGTGCGGAACGCATGCGGACGGCAGCACTGGGGCCTTCGGTGGAGCTCCCTGTGGGGCCACGAAACGTGTGAAGGGGTGTGCCGAAATGGGTGTGCGGGACGCATGCGGACGGCAGCACTGGGGCCTTCGGTGGAGCTCCCTGTGGGGCCACGAAACGTGTGAGGGGTGTGCCGAAATGGGTGTGCGGGACGCATGCGGACGGCAGCCATGGGGCCTTCGGTGGAGCTCCCCTTGGGGCCACGAAACGTGTGAGGGGTGTGCCGAAATGGGTGTGCGGGACGCATGCGGACGGCAGCACTGGGGCCTTCGGTGGAGCTCCCTGTGGGGCCACGAAACGTGTGAGGGGTGTGCCGAAATGGGTGTGCGGGACGCATGCGGACGGCAGCCGTGGGGCCTTCGGTGGAGCTCCCTATGGGGCCACGAAACGTGTGAGGGGTGTGCCGAAATGGGTGTGCGGGACGCATGCGGTCGGCAGCACTGGGGCCTTCGGTGGAGCTCCCTGTGGGGCCACGAAACGTGTGAGGGGTGTGCCGAAATGGGTGTGCGGGACGCATGCGGACGGCAGCCAAGGGGCCTTCGGTGGAGCTCCCTGTGGGGCCACGAAACGTGTGAGGGGTGTGCCGAAATGGGTGTGCGGGACGCATGCGGGCGGCAGCACTGGGGCCTTCGGTGGAGCTCCTGTGGGGCGTGAAACGTGTTGAGGTGGTGCCGAATATGGGAGTGCGAAAACGCATGAGCGATGGCGAGCCATGGCCTTCGGCTCAGCTCCTATGGGGCCACGAAGCGTGTGAGGGTTTTGTGCCGAAACGGGTGTGCGGGAAGCATCGGACGGCAGCACTGGGGCCTTCGGTGGAGCTCCCTATGGAGCCACGAAACGTGTGAGGGGTGTGCCGAAATGGGTGCGGGGGACGCATGCGGCCGCGGGCACTGGGGCCTTCGGTGGAGCGCCCTATGGAGCCACGAAACGTGTGAGGGGTGTGCCGAAATGGGTGTGGGGGACGCATGCGGCCGCGGGCACTGGGGCCTTCGGTGGAGCTCCCTATGGAGCCAAGAAACGTGTGAGGGGTGTGCCGAAATGGGTGTGGGGGACGCATGCGGCCGCGGGCACTGGGGCCTTCGGTGGAGCTCCCTATGGAGCCACGAAACGTGTGAGGGGACTTTTTGTGCCGAAAATGGGTGTGCGGGACGCATGCGGACGGAGACTGGGGCCTTCGGTGGAGCTCCTGTGGGGCCCACGGAACGTGTGAGGGGTGTGCCGAATATGGGTTGTGGCGGGGACCGCATGCGGACGGCAGCCATGGGGCTCTATCGGTGGAGCTTCCTGTGGGGCCACGAAAGTGTGGAGGGGTGTGCGAAATGGGCGTGCGTGCGAAATGGGTGTGCGGGACGCATGCGGACGGCAGCCATGGGGCCTTCGGTGGAGCTCCCTGTGGGGCCACGAAACGTGTGAGGGGTGTGCCGAAATGGGTGTGCGGGACGCATGCGGACGGCAGCATTGGGGCCTTCGGTGGAGCTCCCTATGGGGCCACGAAACGTGTGAGGGGTGTGCCGAAATGGGTGTGCGGGACGCATGCGGACGGCAGCACTGGGGCCTTCGGTGGAGCTCCCTATGGGGCCACGAAACGTGTGAGGGGTGTGCCGAAATGGGTGTGCGGGACGCATGCGGACGGCAGGAGGAGAGGGGGAGGAGGAGAGGAGGAGGAGACGCGGACCACCGTCTCTTCAAAACGAGGACCCAACACCACAGGAAGGTTGGGAAATTAGCCTGGCGAAGGACCCAACCATATGCAGTTGAGAGTACCGCAATTGTGAATATCTTCTTCGGTGGCGCTCCCTATGGGGCCACGAGCCGTATGAGGGGTGTGCCGAAATGCGTGGCAGTGTACAGAACACGAACGAAGACGATAGGTCCGAATATGAAAGCTTGAGCGCGTGCGAGTCGGATCGCGAGCGAGTCTGATTATGAATGAATCTGCGCGCGATTGATTCTATTCGCATGAATGCGTGCATGGATACGCCCAGTGTAAATGTATGGATACGACTGTGAACAGTTTGGGTCTGCGTGACTCTCGGTACTCGTGACTCTGAGCGTCGCCTCTGCAGGGGGGTTCCCTGGGAACCCCGACGGCAGCGCCCGCGCGCCGCGACGCCCATGTCGGCACGCCACACACCTGGTGGTGCGGGACGCATGCGGACGGCAGCCATGGGGCCTTCGGTGGAGCTCCCTGTGGGGCCACGAAACGTGTGTGGGGTGTGCCGAAATGGGTGTGCGGGACGCATGCGGACGGCAGCCATGGGGCCTTCGGTGGAGCTCCCTATGGGGCCACGAAACGTGTGAGGGGTGTGCCGAAATGGGTGTGCGGGACGCATGCGGACTGCAGCACTGGGGCCTTCGGTGGAGCTCCCTGTGGGGCCACGAAACGTGTGAGGGGTGTGCCGAAATGGGTGTGCGGGACGCATGCGGACGGCAGCCATGGGGCCTTCGGTGGAGCTCCCTATGGGGCCACGAAACGTGTGAGGGGTTTGCC